GGCTGGGGCCACAGCGGTCAGCTTAAAGTGAAGATAACACGGACCAGAACAAATCATTCGCTCTTACGAGCTGACGGTGCTGCTGCCCAATTAGGGGAAATTTATGGAGAGGGCACAGGGGCAGCTTCCTAACGCTGCCTAATCCTAATAAGCAGTGATGGACTGGTCAACGAAGTCATCCCGTGACTTTATTGCTTCTAATGTAAGTCAAAAATGGGACGAACTGGTAACTGTCCAAAATGAGAAATCTACAGATTGGAGAATCGCTATCGAGTAGAAATGCTCCGTTAATGCACAGAAATTATACTCGGAAAAAAGGGAAACAGGGCATGGAGTGGACTGGCACACACCCGCGAGACCAGAAATGCAAGATGGCCGCATTTCTATTCGCTCGCATCTTCCATTCATGCCTGAAGGGTTATTATATATAGTATTGGGCAAGAGATTGTATCAGAATGAACTAGGAAGGGCTCTCTTCAAAAGTGCCGAGCGCATCCCTCAAGGGATGCAAAAAAGGCGATCCGCGGCTGGCATTCATCCGCTGCGCTTGAATCAAAATAGCTACGTCAGTGTTTCAACTCGACCAAGCCCTGCCAAAAGATGGCTTCGGGCTTTTTTAGGGGCTCCTTGTGGACCGGCGAGTCCAGTAATATGGAGTGTGGACTCGGCCGATGAGCCGAACCTCACAATTGCGGCTGGTTAAGAACAGTACCGTATCTGTTACTGATCGTACTAGTGAACATCACTGAATGAGAGAAAGCAGATTGTGAGAGATTGCCTCAGGGGGAAATGGGAGCGGTGGGTGTGCGCCTGCTCTCTTCATCTCCCTCCCAATGATTTTCACGACACACGCGAGCAGTGCGGTGTACGGTGCTGTGACTTGTACAATAGTCGGTGGGCACTAACTCAGACAGCTTCGGCGCAATCGAGAAGGTGCTGGTCCATTGCCCGAGTCGCCTTGATGTGCTCATTGCCAGCTTACACTGGGGAAAACGTGGACTAGTGGAATCATTAGCTCCACCGGCACTTAAGTGCGCTCCACTACGCGCGCGAAAGTGGGCGGGATGGCCTAGTTCCGACGGACGCGCGGAATGAACGTTTCCACCGGGCTCCGAACTGGAATGTCTTAGAACCTCAAGAACCTTGACCTCATATGCCATTAGGTTCATTCTCACTTAGGAGAATATAGTGAAAGCAGCACCTGTAGTGTAATGGATATGTTCGGTGCCTTACAAACACAGATACAGGTTCGAGTCATGTAAGTAACCGACCGCATCTGAATCTTTTACAGAACCTGATTTTAACATTTTATTATTTAGTGTACACAAAAAGGCCGCAATAAAGTGAACTGGAAAGTATGGTGTGATTATCCAGTAGCTCCGGCATGGAACGTATGGCTCTCAGTTCCGCCGTGGCCATAACCTTTCGGGCCGAACATCGCACCATAACATCGGTTGCAGTACGGTTTGCCTTCGTGCTGGAAAAAGCAATCGATAAGTATAGTACAACAAAAAATATAATTCACCAGAAAATTAAAAAAATTGGCTGGATCTCGGCAATCAGAAATTAACAACCTTGGAGAAGGGGCGAAAGAAAGTTTAGGAAATCGTAATGAAGATGCGTCCCTTGATAGCTTAAATCAGTTCTGTGCAAGCTCGTTCCCAGATATTCCATCCTTCTGATGGGAACTATGGAACAGTGGTGAACTTATAGGATCATAGTGGGAATCCATAATCACCCCAGTAGATTTGGTCCTCCCAATTCTTCCCAGTCCAGCTGAAATGCTATCACTATTCCGATTTGGGGTCGAATAATTGGCGTCTCCCGACCAGTAGTTCATTACTGCTGAATTGTTCAGAGTTCTACTCTGAGGAGAGGCATTGACAGACAGACCGAACGAAAACGACCTTGTGTTTACGAAAAAAAAACCTTCCCGTTTACATTTCTGTGAGAGTTCTTTGGCAGTTAAGTACAAACCTCGGAGTGACCGCCAGATGTGAGCGTCTTTTTGCATGATTCATTAGCACATCGTAGGCACGGTCGATGCCAATCTTTCCCAAGAGACGACACTCGTTCACCTGCATCAATGAATATTCATAAATTGATTCATAAATTGGCACTTATTGCGAGGATTCCCGAGAAAATTCGGCAATTAGTACTTTCTGAGTGCATGGAAGCTCTTGATTCGACTGAAAAAGCGAAAAGCGAACACAATCTCACCGAAGTAAACGGGTTTCTGGCAAGCAGGACAGTTTGGCATTTTCACGAACGGAAAAGGTCCCGGGTGGAAATGCTGAAATAAGAGGATGAAAATCAGTATGAACTACGGAAAGATGACGGATTCGCAAACGAACAAAACGAAATCGCAAGGGAGCTGATTAGAGATCAGACCGAATTGTGAAAGTGTCATGAGGTGAGTCACCGAATTTATCGGAGAAACGCCCTCATGGGGAATTTCAACATCACACAGAGCATTTTGAAAAGGAAAAAAAGAAAACGGGTAGAAATAAAAAGTAAAACTATAGGGTGATTAAGAAACCGTTGTTGATTCATAAACAAAACATTGAGTTGCGACAGGACTCAATACCACACCCATGCTTTTTTGGTAACCCTCTTATCCATAATGCCACCAGACCAATCCAAGGATTCTTTTTGAGTTCCTATAGTGTTCTCAGAGTATTCCTGCCAAACGGCTCAGGTCATTCTATTTTCAATGTTTTAAATTTTATTTTGAAAAAAAAATCGGCAAAAAAACTGGAAAAAAATTGCAGATTCAGAGCCGTTCAGTGAAACGCAGAATGGTCATCATATTGGCACATTAATCTCACTTCTTTGTTTATTGATTCATTCACAAGAACAACAAAAACATCATTGAATGGTTATTTATTTATTTATTCATCTATCTATTACACTCAGAGATGTGATTAAGGTAAACGACAGAAAATCCATCACAAAAAACTGATATACGAAGAGTTTCTGAGGAGTGGGCAGAGAAATTAATAAATTTATTTATTTATTTATTTATTGCATAC